ATAAAGGTCATCCTGTTGATTTGCTGATTTTCATGGAGTGTAAAACTCCCAGCCATCCATTTATTAATTTGTCAGTTATTTATTCATTTATTATTAATTAATAGTCTACTATGGGCTCAGAGAGTGCGTTTTAGTTTAAAGTACTTCTTACGAGTCCAGCAAAGTATTTTCCTCTGCTCCAGTCAGGCTGTCTCATTCCTAATTCTGGCGTGTTACCCATGGTTACTACAGCACGCAATCCCTCAGGGGGGTGTCTTGCATTGGTTAGACACAGAATCCATGTGTTTGTCTTTTTGCTTGTTTTCTAGATAAATCATGTGGGTGGAACAGACGACAGAGCCAGTTTCAAATGTGGGAAGGGGTTGGCTGGCGTGTTTTAATCTGCCTCTGCTGGTGGAAGAAGCAGAAGAAAGCGTGGTGTCATGTGACTGGATTGCCCCAGGAAAACACGTTACTGTGGTTTGAAGCAATCAGTCCCCAGTTTGTGCCTCTGAGGCTAAAAGGAATTTGAAAACTAAAGGCCTTCGGAGGAACTGATCCTGGGGACGATGTGCATTTTTTCTTTTCCACTAGAAATCTTTTAAAGTCGGTGAAATGCCCTTTGAGTTTGTAATGATGTCTACCGTCGTATTCTATCAAACTTGACCCGATTAGATTCTCCACAAAAGCCTGACAGGGCTCCTCTGGGAAATAAATTACAGCGGGGGAAAAAAACAAAAACCAAACCAAGTCAAAACAAATGCACAAAAACCTCCAAACAAAACACTCACCACCACCACCACCAGCACAGCTTGGCTTAACCCATTGTTTTCCAACTGGGCTTATTTTGGAGTGCTTTGTTCACTGAACCCTTGCTGACTGCGCTGGGAAATGCAGGCGTGGGGTGAGTGCAGACAGATCCTGCTAGAAGCCCAGGGATCCCACTCAGACCTCAGTGGTCTCTCTCTAGGCAGCCGCCTTCCTCCTTCCACATAAGCTGTTACAGAAGTCTCCAGGCTGAAAAGAAGACTGTCTTTCCTGTAATTTGAGTTGGAGATGAAAACATTCCATGAGACCTCAGAAACTGACAGTGACCAGTGCCAGGATTTTGGAGCTTCAGTCATCCAAATCCTGTTTCCTGGAATCCCTGCCCAGCCCATCGGTTCCACCCGTCGAGTGTGGCTCACGTGGTGGAGGCAGCTGCCTCCTTGCTGAGGGAGGCCTTTGTTCCAGACCCCACATTTGGCTACGGTTGCTCTCCAGAGAGTGGGGCTGGGGCTGTGGCCACCCAAACTGCAAGCTCTGGGGATCCTGGTGACATCTTTTAACTAATGCACCCGGCTCAGAATCATGCCAGAGAAGAAGTGGAATTCCCAGTCGAGACTGCGCCATCTTGGAGAGCCCTCGTTGTCCTGCCCTGCTGCTCCTCTGAGGAACCTGCCAGGCAGGGGCTTGGGGCCCTTCTGTCTGTCATCTTAGAGGAAGAGGAGGTGCTGGAGCAGTGTGTGATTCTGAAGACTGACCGCTCAGGGGAGTCGCTCTGTTTCCCAGGTTTTCATCCCTCTGCTCTGTGGTGGTTCTAGGTCCACAGACTCCCTCCCTTCTAGGATCAGAGCCTGATTCTGCACAGCAGCTGAAAGCAAAGGAGAACTCCTATTTCTTGAGCATTTGCACCCCTTGGGCCCTGGGTCACCGTGCTCCTGAACCATGGCCGGCGGGAGCTACGCCAGCACCCTGTGGGGCTCAGCACAACCGCACCCTGGCTGCTTCTCCTAGTGGAGAGGTGTTCCCACGGGCTTTTAATACTTAGTCCCTCCTTAGTGGCCTAGAGGGCAGCCTGGGCCAGTTCTCCCTGATTCATGATGATCAATAGAAATCACCGTCAGTTAGCCTTGAGGTTGGGGACATGAAGTTGGACCCATGGCATAGGCTCAGGATCTCATGAGATGGTGAAGCAGAAAGATTGGGTACATAGATTCTGCACCAAAGTCAGTCTGGGCTCACACTGACTTTAGCTCTGTTCTTACCTCTGCTGGTCAGTACTTGGAGACCTCTGGTAAATTACCCTAAGTTTACTCATCATGAAAAAAACAAAACAAAACAATGAGTGCATTCCAGAGGGTGCTGGGTAGAACAGGGCAACGGTGAAGATGAAACTTAAGATGGGGGTCACACCCGCCGAACCCATTGTAAGTTGAAAATATCCTAAGTCAAAAGTGCACCAGACACTGCCCTGCCCAGTGTCAGATGGTTAGCCGGGCCTACCTTAAACCTGCTCAGAACCCTGAGGTTAACCCACGGGTTGAGCAGAATCATCTAACGCAAGCCTTTCTTTGTAGTGAATGTTAAATATCTCGTGCCATTTACCGACCACGAGGCTGGAAGTGAAGAACAGGTGGCTGTATGGGTCACACTCGCTGCATGGTGGAGTTGGCAAGATCACGTCACACATAGTCCCTGCTGTAAAATAAGTTCTCAACAAATAAAAACCAAGGAGAAGAGGTGCCAGAGAGCTTGTCTTCCACCACCTCAACCTTCCATGCCGGGAGTTTCCATGACTCCCGGGAGTCAGACTTCTTGCCAAGAAGGTCAAGTACCATCTTTCCACCAGAGCAGGGCTTCTCCACAGTGCCCTTATTGACTTTCCGAACAGGATGATTGTTTTTGTGCTGGCTAGCCACCCCCCCCTCAGGCATTGCTGTTTCCTATATGCCAGATGCCAGCAGTATCATCCTCTGGGCTCTCTAGATGTGACAATCAAAAATACCGCCAGACATTGCCAAACGATCCCTGGGAACAGCTCCTCCCAGTTGGGGACCAGTGTATTAGACTGGAAAATGACTGCCAAAACACACACAGCTTTGAACATATTATGGTATATCCAGCTGACCAGTTGCTTCTAGATCAACGATACAGTTTTTTTTTCTTCATTTTTTTTGTTTGTCCCTTAAACTGCCATAATCTGAAAAACCACGTCAACCTAAGAACTGTGTTGTTAAGAGAGAGAAATAGCTGTTTAATAATAATAAGATACATATTGAATAAGGATTTGTAGCATAGGTGATATTGTGAATTTAACCTGTTGTCATAAAATTGATGCAGTCAGTCACTCATGGAATATTATCTGTTTTTAGTGTTTTTGTTGTTTATGTTGAAATCTTGAATGCAATTTATTTTGGGGTAAGGGTGCGAGGTATGTATTAGCCTTATTTCTTTTCCAGATGGAGGAACTTTGTCTCAATACCGTTTACTGAACAAATCTGTGTTTTCCTGGCAGATGTCAAATGGCATCATTTCCTAGTAAAATTTTTCCTAGATCTCTGGTCTGTTTTTGCACTTTCTGGTTCATTCCATTGATATCTATTTATGGACCATTTCAGTTGGTGACCCCTGATTTGAAGTTTTATGGAACACTTATTCTTCTCTCTGTGTGTGGTTTTGTTTCATTATAATTTAAAAACTAAGGTGTAATCTGATAAATAAAATTTGCCATTTGAAAGTGCACAATTTTTTTTTTTTGTATATTCATCTTGACATACAATCATCGCTAGTAACTAATTCCAAGAACATTTCCTAGGTAATTGCCTGAGTGTGGAATTGTTGGAACGCGTGCTTCTGGGTCACATTTTGAGTAAACACCCATCCATTTTCCACAGTACTGAACATTTGGACCAGGAATGTACTGGGTTTCCAATAGGTTCCTATCCTTACCGCACTTGTTTTCTGGCTGGCTTTTTGATGTTGTAGTTGCTGCTGATCTTTTAATTGTAGCCACCCTGTGAGTTGGAAGGAGTATCTCAGTTTGGTTTTGATCTGTGTTGCCCTAATGTCTAATAATGTTGAATATCTTTTCATGCTTATTGGGCATCTGTTTATCTTGTTTGGAGCAGAGCCCAATAAAATCTTCGGTTTAAAGATTGGGTTATTTATCTTTTTATGTTGAGTTGCAAACTTAAAAAAAATAAAAAAAGTTCTATCCTGGATGCTAGACCTTGTCACGTCTGTTTGATGTCCAAATATTTTCTCACATGCTGTGGGTTATCTTTTCTTTCCCTTGATAGTGTTCTTTGATATCTATAATTTTTAATTTCCATCAAGTTAGTCTTATCAATTTTTCCTTGTTTTTGCTCTCATATCTAAGACACTATCCAAAGCCCTTGTGATTTACACTATGTTCCCTTGTAAGAGTCTTATAAAACGTTTTATAAAGAGCTCTTCAGTGTAGGTTTTGGATCCCATCTGAACTCACTTTTGTATATGGGGTGAGGTAAGGGTCCAATTTAATTCTTTTTACATTTAAAATGTACTTTTGTGTTGGGCCAAGGATTAGCCAAATCTTGGCAATTATGCAGTTTACAAATCAGGAGCCTTGCTCATTTCATTCCAAGATCATGCCACGGGTGGCTGGAGCCATGGCCCAGATTCTCCCTCTAACCAAAGCACAGGGGACCTTAAACGACCTTGGTCACCTTTCTGTACAGACTTCCAGATCTTTCCATTATGCACCAGGGCAAGGCCTGCTGGCCAGGGAGTCCTATCTTTCAGGAAGATGGAGATTTTGGCTGTAATCGTGGTGGGGTAATGCAATCTGGCTTTCACAGACCTTTCAACATGGAGTCAAGGGACTGTGGGTGGATGATGTAATGACAAGGTCAGCTCATGGCCCACTTTCAGAGAGGACGTCCGGCTTTCCTATGGGAAGTATCTTTCATTCCCCTCCACACCCCCGAGTGCCAGAGGCACTTAAAAATATGAGGCATACCAGATCCAGAAAAATGCTGACCATTCTGCCCTTTTCACAATGGGGCTGTGGGTTTTAAATTAAGTGGCATCAAGAATTTTTATTATTACTCGCTGGCAGAGAAGTTCTATTTCCTGTTTCTCCTCTTGTTGAAAAGTCAGGCTTTGGGGAATTTGGGTGGGGTGTCTGACTCCACCCAAACTTTCCATTCTTAGGTTTGATTGACATTAATTGTCCCAACATTTAATTAGGATCGGTACTTGTTGCAAACCTGTTCTCTCTCTCCCTGAGACACACACACACACACACACACACACACACACACACAAATGTCACTAGAGAGTGATGACAAGTATGAGGTCCTCTTTCGCCTGGGATTCAACCGGAAATGTCTTGCACAGAAAGATTGTTTGAATTGGTTAAAGATAATTGGTTCCCGTGTTGCTCATGACATCACTGTGAATCTTCCTGGCCCACATTGAGAGTCTGGCAGGGAACGCTGTGCCACCCCTCGGGACGACAGGAGCTCGGTTTTGTGAAATGCGTGGGATGAGGACGACCTGTTTGCCACCAACTGCCACTCTGGAGGTAAGCTCCGCAGAGAAGAGGCCACTTGTTCCCGTGGCATGAACAAAGCGAGGCCTCATTTGTGTGGCTTCGTGTGCCAGCTTTTAGCAGGGACTTTGGCATGCCGTGGTGGCACAGTACCCAATGCCTTTGTTCTCTGACCCTTCTGTGACTGCAAGGACTTTCAATCCTGGGAAGAAAGGGCACAGCGGAATGAGGAGCCAGTGATTTTTTTCTTTTTTTTTTGTCCTCATATAAACCAAAGGAAGTTTCTGTCACTCTGACAACCTGTCCCTTTGGCTCTGAGACTTCTCTTCATTCTATTGATCCTGCTCCCTTATTTTATTTCATTGCAAACAGTTTAATGACAATAAACCTCTGAGTGGAATTGATTCTGACTGCAGCTTTGAATTCCCAGTCGAAAACACAGATTTACGGCTTCCATAAGCTTGTGCTGTGGCATAACCCGTCATGATCCTCACTCGAGGGAGGTGACGTTGCGTGTCCTGGCATGTGAAGGCAGGAGCCGGCCCTGCCACCTGATGGTTACAGCCCTGGGAACAACAGCTCTTTCTTCTCCAACTGAGAACAGCATAGTGACAGTATGGCTTGAGATATGCATTTTTACCCTTGCAACCGAGTCCAGCACATCATTTTGGAAGTGAAATTCTTATTTATACAATGTAAGCAACGGCCAGCCAACACTGTGGCTCAGATGGAAGGAACCTTCATTGTACCCACCCTCATCTCTTTGCCCTGGTAATATTTGCAGTACCATAATCTCCCAGCCTGTCAGGAAAACTAAGCCCACCATGTATCTTTGCTGATTATCTTAGATCTTTAATCCTGACTACCATTAATTTTTGGCACATGAAATGGAGGTCCTCATAATCTTCATGTGAGTTTTTTTTCAATATTCCTTTGCTAGAATTCATTGCTGTAAAGCCACATGAGCTAGGTTTGATGTTTATAATCTGTCAACCTTATTACATAAGGCTTGCCATGCTTTCCTTCCTTTTCAAAATTCCATTTTCCTCTGTTTAACTCAAATGAATTTATTAAATTAAATAAATCTAATAGTACCTGAAAATAGAAAAACAATATATATTTGAGACAAATGACAAGCAGTCACCTCTATGACTGTGTCAGTCATAATAAAATTTTCATAGCAGAAGTTTAAGTATCCATGGATTGCCATGAATTATTCTGCAGGTTTGGGGGGATGATGATGGTGATGGTGGTGATGGTTTTGTTGATGTTTATTGAATGATGATCAGGAGCCAAATAGATTCTAATAGAAGGCTTTTTGTACCTTATCTTGTTGAACCACTGTGAACCAATTGTAGAACTCTTATCAGCCATATAGTACACATGAGGAAACTAAGGCTGGAGAGATTTGGGAACCTGTTCCAAATGGCTCAGGGAGTGAATCACTGGACCAAGCAACTTGATATCAGGAACTGTTTTTCTTAATCTAATTCTTATATATTTACTATGCTGCGCAGCTTATAAAATGCTCTTGAGTCTTTTATCTCATGATACATCTTGCAAAGGATGATATTTGGCATTTTGTAAACAAACATTGGTGGCTAGAGATCACAGAAGCATTTATTGTCCAAACAATCACAGACAGGAAGGATTCCAATAAGCCATCAACATCCCCTAAAGAGATCTGTGAGAGACTGTGGGTGAGGCTAGAAGCCCACGTGAACTTCCCTGAAACACATTGGTAAAGTGTGTCTAGGTCCGGGCCAACAGTCCTGTGGCTGCCTGAGCCTGGGTGTCAGGAAGTCAAAGCTGTATGGAAGCTGCAGAATGTGAAAGCCACATTGATTCTTTAGCAATGTTTTGTAGGATCTAATGCCATTGGATGGCATGCGAGGGACTTGGTGGTGAGAACAAGTCAAGCTTTGGCTCCCTGCTTAGAAGGAGGTCTAGGTGTTTAGAAAGGAGCCTGGTGCTGGTCTCAGGGTGCTTGTCCATTTGAGGGTCATACCCGTGAGCAAGTGGGGAAGATGTTGCCCTGGCCTGAAGGTGGAGGTTTGCAGCCTCTCCTGCCCATCTCCAGTGTGACAATCAAGTGGTCCTGTTTCCTAGTCCACACTCTTTTTGGTATTCTTATCTCAACCAAACCAGGGTGAGAAGCTTTAGTGCACAGGCTGTGCTGTGTGGTGGTTCCTTTTTCTGCCCCCACTTCCTTCCTTCTTTCTTTTACTTATGCTTTTTTAATGTCAAAGTAGAAAGATCCCAGACTTTGGAGTCAGAGAGCCTTCTCTTCGTATCCGCCTCAGACATTTAGGAACTATCTACCTTGCATTTTCAAGTCTGTTTTCTTATTTGCAAACCAGAATTTCTTGCCCATCTCATCAAGCTACCAAAGAAAAGAAGGACAGGGCAGTTGGTTTCTGCGGCACACGCAGCAACTTGATTAGTGATGTTCCTTATCTCCGCTTTTCCGAGAAAAAGGACTTTATTGATGAGGAACCTAAAGTAAATCATAAACCATTTCTTTCCAATGAAGACCATTTCATTAGATATTTACTGGGTGTCCACTGAGCATCAGATGCTGGAGTCTCAGAGATTCAGAGAGTTGACTGAGACAGACATCATCATGGAGTAGCTCAGATTGTCTCCCTGGTGCACAAAGTGCATTGAGAACTCAGAGGGTGGGACTGAATCCTGCTTGAGGGAGTAGGGATACTTCCCTCAGTGTGGATCATGGAGATTGAGCCAAATTTGGCAGGATAATGAGAAGAGAATAAAGAGAAGAGAGGAGAGGAGCCAGCCAGGGTATGTCACGTTCAGGGAACTGTTAGACATGAACGTTATTGTCATGGGAAGGTTGGGAGGGTAAGATAGAAATATGAGAAACAGGAAATGGTACAATATCTATTTTATGACTCCATACTCATCTACACCTTATGATTGTCTACACATAAGAGCACCTGCACAGAGCACAAGAGAACTTTGTCCCACTTTGAGGAGCCTTGGTGAGACCACTTTGCCTGGAGAATATGTAGTTGAAGCTCCATCCAACAATCGTACACTTACACCACCATAAACTAATTCATCCATAGCAAAATAATGACAAAAGATTATTATACGGTGTAGAACAGTGAGTAGGCAGCACCCAATTGTGGATCTTCAGGCAGATGGAAGGATGCAGAGGATAAAGAGAGGACTCATCAGAGAGAAATAATCAGAGAACATAGGAAGCTAAATATTGGGTTTGGGACATACATGTTTGTAGGCAATGGGACCTGGCATAAATATCAGAGTGCCTGATGGGGGGTGCGATGATACCCAGTGAATCGAGTTTCATTACCTCAAGTTGCATGTCTAGTCTGTAAAGTAATGTTCCAGCATGGTAATCAGCCTTCTTGGTGCTACCATGGCAGCTGTGAAGAATTATCACACGTAAACAGGCTAAGAGTAGACCCCCCAAAATTCTAGGAGTGGGATGGCAGTGTTTTTGAAAACCTGCATACTATCCTTCATAATGGCTTATACTAATTTACTTTCCCACCAACATTCTGAGAATTCCCTTTTCTTCTCATCTTGCCACCATTTGTTATTTTTTTTATCTTTTGGATGACAGCCATTCTAACTGGCATGCAATGATATCTCATGTAGTTCTGATTTTCTCTCCCTGATAGCCAATGATGTTGAGCAATTTTTCATAAATTTGTTGACCATTTGAATTTAGCTCATAATAACTTATTATATATTTCATGCATAACTAAGAGGAACAAAAAGTCTCTCTATGAAACACAAAATCATGATAAGGAGATGGAAATGTTATTCATCCTGATTTAATTAGTATACTTTGTATTCATGTATTGAATGATCCAATGCACCACATAAATAAAATGTTAAAAAGACCCCAATTCCTGTCCCAATGAGTACAAAGATACAGCAAAACAGGCTTTATCACTTAATCTTATAGATTTTTTTTTTTTTGGAGCTTTATGGCTGAACCTAGTAATTTGGTTCTTCCTGACAAACTCATACATGCAGAGACATTGATTTCAGTTCATGATACCCCTTTTCTCTCCCATCCTCCCCATCCTGCCTTCTTCTTCCTTTACCTACTAGAATTCCTTTCACTTATCTTTTAATTAGTATTTGATTGGTTCCTTATGTATTCTTATCCTTCCATTCCCCTTTCCTTTATTTTACTTCGGGTTTGACTTATGAGAGCACATTTACCTTTGAATTTCTGAGTTTGGCTAATTTCATAATATTCTGCATTTCCATCCATTTGCCATTCAATATCATTATTTCATTCTTTTTAATGGCTGAGTAGAATGCCATTGCATGCATATATATATATATATATAACAAATATATATATATATATATATATTACAAATTCCTAATCCTTTCATCTGTTGATGGGCATCTGCTAACACTACATTCTTGAGAAGAGAGGGAAGGACTTGTCACTGGCCATGTGGGAGTGCAGGATCTGTAGGGGAGGTTCCCCTTTCCCCTCCTCTCACTAGAGAACCTTCAGTAGGGACGGTGGGGTGGGTGGAGGTGCCTGCCAGAAGGCAGCAGCTGCATTTCGTGATCTGGCTGAATTTCCACCTGCACAGTGCATTTGCTGATCTGTTCCTGGGGTGAAGAGAATTAGGAACGCCTGGCAGGGCCAGAAGAGGCATGGGAAGGGGACATCTCCACTTCCGTCATTCTGTGTGGAAGATGTACCATGCTCCTGTAGGTTGTGTGGCAGGCCATCAAGGAAGGTAACTGGGCTTGCCCTGTCTTGACTCTGCAAAGGAAATGTCCCCAGGATGAGGGGTCACTGACAACAAAGGGCTGTGGGATGGACCACTAGTAGCAGAAGCTGGCCTGGAAGTCGTATCTCCTATGGGGACTGGGCCATGGAGGGGGCTGTATGGAAATTCATGTAGGTTTCAAAGTGAGTCAGCCTTTGAAGACCTGCCTCTCAGACAGTAATGAGGGCGACTCAGTCTTATTAAAGAGAAATGTCCACAGTCAACTGAGCGAATTCTATA